CTCCCTCCCTCCCTCCCTCTCTCTCTCGCTCTCTCTCCCCCCCCCCCTACATACAGGCATAGAGATCTGCCCAGTAAACCATAGGCAGAAACCAGGGAAGGGACAAGAAACAGGAGGCTGTGACAGACTGTTTCGCCAGAGTTTCACTGACCTGAATACCTATACATATATGAGCCTCTCTCTCTCTCTCTCTCTCTCTCTCTCTACCTATCTATATATCTATATCTATATATGTGCCTTGGCCAAGTTGACCAAGGTTACAGGGGACAGGCTGGTGCGAGTTCTGGGTGCATATTTTCAGACTACTAAAGAAAAGGAAGAAGGTTTTGAACCAACATTATGGCAAGACACCCTGTGGCATCTGATCCGGCAGGCTGACAAAAAGACAGACTGCCAGTATGGTTCCCGTGGGCTGTCTCAGAGTCCTGTCAACGGTGTCGATTTCAATTTTTTTTGGATGGTTTTATTGCTTTCTGTTTCAAGGACCGATTATTTCTGTTTCTGGTTCGTTTCTTTTCTAGTGTCTCTTTTTCTCGGGGCCATCCGATACTTCGTAGGCGCGCCTGATTTTGATCCAGTACATGTTCGTGTTTTGGAGCTGGGTGCATTCGAAACACCGGTAGGCCGGGGGGTTTTGGTTACGGAGAATGGTACATGAACTTTCAAAGGACATTGCTACGCATATCTACGGTAGTCTACTTGCTACGGCTACCTACCTGATCACGTACGATGGATCTTTCGGACATATAACAGTGAGACACAAGGCGGAAGGTCTCTCCTTTCGACAAAAGTACTCATCTGAGTGCACCTCCCTGATGATTCTGTGTGGGCGGATGAAACCGGGAGGAGGACGCTGCATTGTCGTTTTGATGGGAAGATTCGGCCACGGTGGGTAGTGAGCCTTCAGTGTGTATGCAAGAACTGAATGAACAGCATGACGTTCGATGCTTTTCGTCTGTTTTCGAATCTGAGCTGAGTGCTTCGACTTTTTGCAGTCTGTTATGTTCATATTTTGTGCCGTGTGTACGACATCGCTCCTGGTCACCTATGCCTTCCCGTAAGGCTGTTTCACCGCAGTCTGCCACTCTGCCTCTCTCTCTCTCTCTCTCTCTCTCTCTCTCTCTCTCTCTCTCCCCCCCTTGCGCCGATTGATTTGAAGAAAATGGGAATGAAAAATGGGAATGAAAAATGCACCAGAATGCGGCAAGATGCATTCTCGTTTTGCAAATCGAATCATTCCAATTCTACAAATCCATCTGCGCACGCGCGCACACGAGAGAGAGAGAGAGAGAGAGAGAGAGAGAGAGAGAGAGAGAGAGAGAGAGAGAGAGAGAGAGAGAGA